TGCAAGCATTTTTTCTAAGTCTGTGACTTGCCTTTTTCTTTCTTTTTTTTTTTTTTTTTTTTTTTTTTTTTTTTTTTTTTTTTTTTTTTTTTTTTTTTTTTTTGAGACGGAGTTTCGCTGTTGTTGCCCAGACTGGAGTGCAATGGCACGATCTCGGCTCACCGCAACCTCCGCCTCCTGGGTTCAAGCAATTCTCCGGCCTCAGCCTCCCGAGTAGCTGGGACTACAGGCACGCACCATCATGCCCAGCTAATTTTTGTATTTTTAGTAGACGAGGTTTCACCTTGTTGACCAGGATGGTCTCGATCTCTTGACCTCGTGATCCACCCGCTTCGGCCTCCCAAAGTGCTGGGATTACAGGCTTGAGCCACCGCGCCCGGCTGCCTTTTTCTTTTCTTTTTTTTTTTTTTTCCTTTTTTGAGACAGAGTCTTGCCCTGTCCCTAGGCTGGAGTGCAGTGGCACGATCTCGGCTCACTGCAACCTCTGCCTCCCAGGTTCAAGCAATTCTCCTGCTTCAGCCTCCCGAGTAGCTGGGACTACAGGCATGTGCTACCATACTCGGCTAATTTTTATATTTTTAGTAGAGACAGGGTTTCATTATGTTTGCCAGGATGGTCTCGATCTCTTGACCTTGTGATCTTCCCGCCTCAGCCTCCCAAAGTGCTGGGATTACAGGCATGAGCCACCACGCCCAGCTGTGTTTTTATTGTCTTAACAGTGTTTTGTGAAGAGTCAAAGTTTTGATAAAGTCAAATTTATCAAAGTTTATTATCACACTGGTCTTTAAAAATTTTTTTTAAAATTATTTTTGATACCCCAGTTCCTTCACCTCTCCAATGAGATAACTGATGTACATGTCTACACTGTTCCCCAGGGATCCCCAGCAGGGTCATACTTCTTGTGTTGTATTTAAGAAGTCTTTTTTGAATTCAAGGTCACAAAGATTTTCTCCTATGTTTTCTTCTAGAAATTTTAAATTCTAGGTTTTACCTTTAGAGTATTATCCATTTTGAGTTAATTTTTTGTAATGGTGTGAAGTATGAATTGAGGCTTAATTTTTTTTGCATGTGGTTGCATATGGCTCAGTTTTTTTGTAATTATTTCAGCATCATTTGTTGAAAAGTTTCTCCACTGAATTACCTTTGCAATCTGTCCAGAAATCAGTTGATCATATATTTATGGGTTTATTTCTAGACTTTTTATTTTTTTCTATTGATTTATATATCTTTCTTTTCACCAAAGCCATACTTTATCACTATAGCTTAGTAGTAAGTATCGAAATCAGTTAGTGTGAATTCTTCAATATTGTTCTTTATTTAAAAAAATTGTTTTGGTTATGTGAGTTTTTTAACTTTTCCATATAAATTTTCAGTGTGTCAGGTTCTACGGTATATATATGGTAGGAATATTTTTTTCAGATGGAGGCTCCCTCTGTTGCGAGGCTGGAGTGCAGTGGCGCCATCTTGGCTCACTGTCTCCGCCTTCCAGGTTCAAGCAATTTTCCTGCTTCAGCCTCCTAAGTAGCTGGGACTACAGGTGTGTGCCACTACACCCACCTAATTTTTGTATTTTTAGTAGAGATGGGGTTTTGCCATGTTGGCCAGAATGGTCTCAATCTCCTGACCTCGTGATCCGCCCACCTTGGCCTCCCAAAGTTCTGGGATTACAGACGTGAGCCACCATGCCCTGCCTATGATAGGATTTTGAAAGGAATTGTGTTGAGCTCATAGATCAACTTGGGGAGAACTGTAACAATACTGAGTCTCATATTCAGAACATGGTATATCTTTCTATTTATTTAGACCTTTTTTTGTTTGTTTTGTAGTTTCCAGTACGCAGATCTTACACATATTTTGTTTGGTTTGTACCTAAGATTTTATGCTTTTTGGTAATATCAAATATAGCATTCTTTTTCAGTTTTAATTTCTAATTGTTCATTGCTAGTATATAAAAATATAACTGAATTTTGGGTATTGATCATATAGCCTGTGATTTTGCTAAACTTACCTATTCTAGATTTTTTTGTGGTACATTCTAGAGTTTTCTATATTGTAAATAATGCTATCTTTGAATAGAGACAGTTTGATATATTTTTTTCAGTCTGTATGCCTTTTTTGTATATGTTTTGAACTGCGATTTTATTTAAAACATTTAATTTTTAGAGAAATATTTTACCAAGATTAAATTCTTGCCAAATTGGCTTTCTGGAGTATTACAAGGGATTAGAGCCCAAAGGTCCATGCCTAATAACAAGGTGCTTGGGTTTGGTTGTTAGTTCATTCCTATGCCTTCTTCATATCCTCATTTCAAGATATGGCTCAACTTTCCTCATGGCCTATTGACTGATGTACTGTATTATCAAAATAGAGAATGGACATGAGCATTCTTTGGATGTAAAGAATCACGGAGGTCCTAAATACTATTAGAATTACTATGGTGGTAATTGTTCAAAATTGCCAGGTACTGATGTCATCTTCATGGTTATGAGATATGGTTACCAAAGCTCTAGGGATTGGATTTACAAGGTGGATTCAATTCCAGTTCACATTTGGGGATAATCACAACCTTGGAGGGAGTTAACATTTTGCAGAACAGTCATGTGGTAGTTGTCCTTGTGCGGGCCAAAGACTTATGACACTTTCTTCTCAAACCCTACATGACCCTGAATTACCTGCTTCCTCTATTCAGCTATGTGGGCAGTCTTTATAATTTTAACCTTTCAAGCTGTGCTGTAATATAATGACTAGAGCATTTTATATAGGACATGACTTTTGTGTACTTGTGACCTATTATTACTTTCCTAGTTGGGGTTTGTCAGGGTGAATGATGTGGGGTATTTTGTGGAAGCAGTCTAAAGAGTCATCATTATTGTTAGTGGTAAGGGGTCTTGGCATAACCCTCTGACTTGAGAGCCTTCACACTGCTTGCTGAGCATATGGTTGCCCTTTCTGTGAGCTCCCTTGATACTTCCACTGCTATAATTTGGACATCTTTGCTGATCAGTTCACTTACTTGTCCATCTTCCTGGAGTGTGCATGAATCAGGATCAGGGAATCTTACACTCATCCCCCCAGGGTCTGACTCAGGGCTTGGCTGATGTTATTGACTGAATGAGCTCTGTAAATACACTTGCAGTCAGTCTGGCACAGTGGGAAGGGCAAGGACTCTGGCATCATTCCAACAATTGGAAATTAAAATGAAAAAAAGGCATGCATTGAGAAGGTTTGAGTCTGAGCTCTGCTGCCTGTGGATTTCCTTTGTCTGAATTACTTATTCTAAGTCACATTTTTCTCATCTGTAAAATGAGGATATTTTCTACTTCATTAGTTCATCATATTGTAGTACTAGGTAAGTGAATGTTATTGGAACAATTATTTAATGGATATATCGTGTCATTTAACCCTAACTACTAGCATATTATTTCCAACTCAGTTGCCTCCCCTGGTCGATTTGGAGTTCAGGGGCTGTTGCTATATAAACTAGTCATCCCTATTACCATCAGTGTGGCTGCCATTGCTAGTAAAGTGCCAATTAGATAATTCAATGCTCATATTATCTGGGATGCCACAGCGGCCGATTGCAGTGATACTTGCAGAGGGTGATGCCTGGGGTCTGTGGGCTTCCATGCTAGTCTCAGCATTTGGATTTTATATTTAGCAGTATCTATGGGTAGTTTGAAAACACGCAGGCTGCCACATGTCTGGAGGTCACACAGCAATCCAGAAAGTGTCAAGAGAGTCCTTCCTCAAATTTCAAGGGATGTGTTCCAACCTTCCAGGCTGCAATTCACTCTACAAATTTTAATAACATATTTCTGCATTTATTTTTTCTGGTATCCTCAATCCAGTTTGAAGGGCATCAGCATTGCTAGCTTGATATATAATTTGGGATTTTAAAAATGCTATTGCTAATACCTGAATATGAATTTTATTTCTAATATGAAAAACTTTCCAAATTACAAAAACGCTATGATCCTCATAAGTTTTGGTTCTAGAATAAAATGATGTGACACTCCTAATCCATGCATTTTGGTTTTTGTGTATTTGTTTTTTAAACTAAGAACTTTGATGATGCACTGAAACTATTCAACATAGCCTCATTTCAAAGGCAGCCACATAGAGTTCTGCTGTCTAAATAAATCAAAGCTGATATCACACAACATTTCCGTTGGGTAAGCTTGCCGGCAATGCTTGTCTGGGCCACATACTTATAATGTCTTTATTGGATGTTGTTTATTTCCTTCTTGAACACAATTTATTCCCCCATCAAAATAGGAACATGTCAATATGTTCACAATTTTATAAGTGCATATACTCTATGTGTATATGTATGTACATTCACGTTTCTATGTCTATAAGTAGTAAAACTTTTTTTCCAGAAGCAGGTGTACTTTAATTTCCTTTGTGTTTTTCCTTTATTTATTTTTTGAGACTGAGTCTCCCACTGTCACCCAATCACGCGATCTCGGCTCTGCAATCTCTGCCTCTTAGGTTTAAGCGATTCTCCTGCCCTAGCCTTCTGAGTAGTTGGGATTACAGGCACCCACTACCAGACCCAGCTAATTTTTTGTATTTTTAGTAGAGTCAGGGTTTCACCATGTTGGCCAGGCTGGTCTTGAACTCCTGACCTTGTGATCTGCCTGCTTTGGCCTCCCAAAGTGCTGGGATTATAGGCGTGAGCCACCAAACCTGGCCTCCTTTGTGTTTTTCTGTGTTTCAAAATTATCTACAATGATTAACCAGAAAATCAATATTATAATTATAGTATTTATACATAAAATAGAACTTTTAAAGAATATCTTTTCTAGGCTTGGGACAGGAAAAAATATTATGTTATTTTTGGCCAGAGTCTATCAGAATTAAGAAATTAAAGAGAGGGATTTTGCAGAATAACCTCAAAGTTAGTCTCAAAATTCACAATTATATTAGCTCAGAGAGAGAGACAGAGTATATATCACCTACTAATGTCATGTATTTTTCTTTTTCTGTTTGTAAACCAGATTGAAAAGAAGGATTAGGCCAACCCCAAAGAAGAAGTGACCAAGGAGGAGTTTAAAGTGAATGAATGGCCTCGGCTCCTGGACTCATTGCTTCACAACCCATCTACCCTTGGACAAGTTATCTGGCTTCAAATATTATGCAAGGGCAAACACCTGCTGATGCAGCAACTGCTGATGCTCATGGTCCGCGTGGCATGGGGGCCTCAGGGCAGCCTGCCTGGAGGTGAGCAGGGGTATCTCTCTGTCTTATACTCCAGTCAGGGGGTTCCAGCTGCACCTGCAGGCTCCAGAGCTCAATGCACAGATCTTTTTGTTTCACCTGCAGTCTTTTCTTCCCCTGGATGTGCACAGGGCTCCAGGGTCTTTCATGACTCAGGGTCAGAGTGGCTCACGCACCAGTCCACATGTTGTCCTCCAGATATTCCCTTCCATCCCTTACATCCTGTTGCTCAGCCTGACTTTTAATTTTTAACTTTCTCCTTTGTAATTAATCTCTATCTGGGTTTCTCTCTTCCTCTTTGCCATTTGGTTTCCTTAATTAGTTCCCTGTGCCAGTCCATAGTCAGAGCCATAATTGGCTCTGGGGAAGATCCAAGTTATTTTCTGAGTAAGATATTAGGCTGCCATATGATCCAGAGATGCAAAGAAATCCCCAGAGAGTGTAGGAGTTGTCTAAATCCATGTGTCAGATGTAGCCAGCAAGTTGTGTCAGAAGCAGAGAGAAAAGGCATGAAAAGCAACCTTCTTCCGCTCCTCAGGCCCCTCCTCAGGTCTCCATCCTTACGTGGGGCTTTTTTTTTTTTTCCCCCCAAGATGCGGTTTCACCATGATGGCCAGGCTGGTCTTGAACTCCTGACCTCAGGTGATCCACCCACTTTGGCCTCCCAAAGTGCTAGGATTATAGGCGTGAGCCACTGCACCCGGCCACATGGGGCTTTTTGAACATCTCCTCCTGGCACAGCTAGGGTGAGAGCAAGTCCTCTAAGGCACTGCCTTTGAGCCTTGCTCAGCCCATCTGAACAATCCCAGTTCTAGAATTGACTGCTTTTAAATTGTGTGACCTTGGGAATGTTATCTAGCTTCAACCACAGTGCCCTACCTTAAGTCCCTCTCCCAAGTGATCCTAGATACAGGGCTGCTTCCCCCCAAACCCTGTCCACCTCAGGACACAGGCTCGTGGCCTTATGACACTTCATGACCAGAAGTGGTGCTGAGAGTTCCTATTTCCACACGTAACCCCCTAATTCCTGGGAAAGCCTGTGGCCTGGTCCCCCCAGTGCTTTTTCTGGCTGGTCCCTCCATGTTTTCATCTGATGGTGGAGTGAGATCAGGAAAAATAGGAGCGGTGCTTTACCTTGGGGGAGAAGAGAAGTGTGGAAAGGATGAGTTAAAAGAGGTTAAGCAGTCTAAGATTCCTCTCCCTATGTAGGAGGCCATTTCCTCATGTGAGGGGGTTTGAACCCAATTATAATGGGACAGGGTTGGGTGTTGACATCCCATCTCTTCTCTCTGTTTTGTTCCCACTATCTGTAGCCCAAAAATCTTGGGGAGGACTTTGATCTTTAGTATGGGCTCTTGGTCAGGGCCATAGGAACTAACCCCAATCCTTATTCCACCTGGCTCTACCACATCCCCTACACACAAACACATGCTGCAGGGAGGGAGTTTGCCCCTGGGTCAAGTGGACGATCCTTGGATCACCTTGTGCTCCTGTAGACTGGGGTGTGTGTGTGTATGTGTCGGGAAACTTAGTTTTGAGAGGATGTCTTTGGGCTCTCATTTTCTCTCCCAGGCACAAATACTGGGTGGCGGGGTGGGGGTCTTCTCCAAGTCCCATGTCAGGTGCTGTTCCCTGAGAAGCTTGACCACTGAAGCCGATCATGAGATGACTGTACGCTGACACGCCTTCAGGGACCTGGCCTTGACTTAGGGCTCCACTGTATCCTCAGCAGTGGCCTTGCAGGAGACCCTCTTGGGTTGCTTTCCCTATTCAGCCTAGAGTTGGAGTGGTGGGAGAAGAGGGGTTGGAGTGAATCCATCTCTATTCAAATTCCAGCTGGGATTACTCGAGGAGTCTTCCTGGCTTGTTTTGGACCCAAACTTGGCTGCATTGTTTATTGGCTCCCAAAGTCGGGATTGAAGAGTGAAAAGATGCAGGCAGTGAATTCATCCGCACACTCCTCCCCAACCTCTCCAATGCTTTTCTACTTAGGAGGCCAGTGGAAGGGAGGAGAGGCCTTGCCCTAGCCCACAGGGGACGAGGCTCATTGTTCTTCCATGCTTGATCCACTCTGCTTTTGATTCCGAAGTTCTTTCCCTACCCAGCAAGACTACGCTTTCTTGCCTTCTTTCTGTTCTTTCTTTTTGTACATGTAGATGGTATGTTGTGATATATTCTCAGTGCCTGTGCCCAACTTGGAACTCTGTTCTTGCTGTTCATTCCGCATGTTATACTCTGGGCCAAGATCTTTGCACAGGTGCCTCAAATATCATCTCAGAGGTGCTTCCCTTGAAAACTCGGTGCTATTTCTATAGTTGCTTTATTTGATCACTCTAAGTTTTGTTGTCTTCATAGCACTTATCACCCTCTGGAACTATTCTGTTCATTTATTTACTTGTTTGATGCTTGGCTTTTTTCCTGTCCTAATGTAAACTCCGTGATTGCCAATGCCTGTTTACTTGCTACAGCACCCCCGTGGCCCTCCACTCCCCCATTCCTGGCACTAGTAAGAACTCAATAAACACTTGTTGATGGAATGAATGTTTGTTTGTTGTTTTTTATAGGAATTTTTTTTAAAAGTTCAGATGTTTTTAAGAAGTCAAAGGTGTCTTTTGTATTTAGCAACAGGGAGCCGTTGGTGACTGTGTAGGACACTCTCCGTGTGACGTAAATGGGAGGCGAGGAACAGGAATTTGCAATTGTAGATGCAACTCTCTCCACTAGGCTTGACTTCGAAGGAAGGCAGAGGGGTAGGGCAAGGGATGGAGTGTTGCACTTAACTGAGAAGGCACGTGAGCACGTGGAAGTGCTGCTGGGAGGGCGGCGGTGGAGTGGGTGTGTGAAGAAGGGGGAGTGGATCACTGATGGAGCCAGTAGTGGAGGATTTGAGGGGGCCAAATCAGGGTCAGTGAGGATCAGGCATGGAGCAGGGGTGCCTTTTCACTGGAAAAAAGGGAAGGAGAAAAGGAGAGTGTGGATTCTGGTGCATTTGCAGACTTAGTAGCAGGACATTGAGGCAGTTTCTGCCTGTGGTTTTGATTTCCTCTGTAAAGCAGGAGATGAGGCGGCCTGATGGGGTGCTGGTGTTGGGGTCAGAGGCATGAGGATGGGGGAGAGGGTTATAAAGACATCATTTCAAATCATGGCTTTGAAATCATCTATATAATTCTTTCTCCAGATGAATTTTTATTTTTATTTATTTATTACAAATTCAAGATAACATTTTGCCACTACATTTTTGCCCATAACCTCATATTTAGATCTAAATCTTAGATCTAAACTTGAGGCTCATATGGTTTCAGGTGGAAGAAATAAGAGTTGGAGAAAGAAATGCAGAGTCTAATCTTCCCAGTGAATAAAGGTTCATGAGGAAACTTTGATGAGGGGAAGCTATAAAAATTCCACCAGATTACAGGGAGATGGAGCTGTGCTCTGAGACAGTAATTTGCTCCCTATCCATCTAGGCTGCTGTTATTACACCAAAGAGTGAGGTATAAAAGGTTAAGCAGTCCGATATTTCTCTCCCTGTGTAGGAAACCATTTCCTGATGTGAGGTGGGTTTGAACCCAATTATAATGGAGTTAAACTCAGGGCTGGAAGGGCCCTAGCGGGGGAAGGGGGCTTCCTGCCTGACTCCACTGCACATGCCTCTGTGCCGTTAAAACCACCATTGCCAGGTATTTACTATTTCTGCCTGAGTAAAATGAAGTGTCCTTAGTGGACAAAGATGATACTGTTGACACAAGAGTAGGGTGTGCAGTTGTTACTTGGAGAGAATTTGCATCCTCTTATTGTAGTACAGGTACACACTTGCAGGAATGCTTGGGTCAGGGGAGTGATAAAATAACTTCTTATTGAGCATCAACTATATATTCACCTTATACCACAGGGTACTTTGTGTTTGTAAATGGGGAACAGGAGAAGTTGTCATGACCCCCATGGCCACTGAAACCATGACCTTTACCTTACTACCACCATGTGGCAACCCAGAAGTTTCTAAACAGAGAATGGTTTAGAGTACCCAGGGGTACTTGGAGATGCCACTGTATGAGATAAGAGGAAAGTGGAGCCAGCAGGACTCCAGCCACACCTTCACATCAACAAAAGTAGTGTTTAGTGTTTGTGTTGACTTCTAACTTTATGTAGATAAAGGATTCCACTGGAGCAAAAGAGTCTGACTACACTTTCACAAATGCAACAAATATTGATAGAATCCTTATGTTAAGTGATTTTCTAAATGGTTTACTGAATTAAAGAGCGTACTATTTGACATCGCAGGTTTGAGGTTAGTTGGCTGGTATTTCACTATTCATTTCCTCTGAAGCAACAATTTACCTATCACCAAGTTCAGTGCTTTGACTTTGATCAACTGACTGGGTTTATCCAAAGTACAGATGAGCAGAAGAACACAGATTAGAAAACAGTCCTGATAATTAGTCCTGTATTTTTAGTTTTAAACAAATTTATGTAAAAGCATTATATTTTACAAGGCACTAAAATCCATTTCTGTTGCATAAGCTTCATTGACATATAAACAACATTGGTAAACACAAAATAGGTTTGAGGAGAGTGGAGAAAATAGGAATCTACAGCTTAAGTCGTGGTCTTACTTCATAGCAAATCTGTTATCTATCAGATTTCCATCATTTGGTGCAAAAAGATCTCTTAATAAAACTAAGTTCTAAGAAAGTATTAAGTCTGATTACCAACATTCATATTGGATTTTGAAGCATATGAACTCTCTTAAGAGTCAATTCATAATCTGAGGCTGGAGTTCTGTAGGACCCAGTAGTGGTATCTGGAGAGGCTGGTGGGTCCCTTTCTAGAACCCTAAAGGTGTAAGGATTTTGTAGAGGGAAAGGTAAATAATGCCAAGTAGCTGGGGTCTAGGAAGAAAGTTTTCTTTTGGGGCAAGAGGGTGTAAGTTCGTAAAGTTCCTTCAGCAGGGACGTTGGTCCTTTAGTTATGAGGTTTAAAATCACCAGGAAGAAAGGGTAAGGAAAAACGTCTGAGCCCATGTTTGAGAAGATGTCTGATGGTGGTGGAAGTCCTTTCTTCGATGAGCTAATGATGCATATTTCTGATAAAGATGGGAAGGTATTTACATCAGCATTAACTAAATCTACCCTTCATGCAGAAAGGAAGAGCTCTTGGGCCATTCTCTATTAATGAAACCACACCAGGGTCAATATTAGAGTGTCTCTGAAATACACTGAAAATACTTCCCTGGCTCAGTTAGTGGCCAGTGACCTCCAGGCAGTTTTCCTTGATTAATGATGCAATGGAGATAATCCTATTGCATCCACCATCAAGGAGAGTTGGGCAGCCTGTCATTCAGAGGAAGTGGGACTCAACAGACATTCTGTTTATTAATTCAGCCATGTTTACATGCAGATCAGAGGGAAAAGTTTTTCTTTACACCTTATATATCCTTCTCTTCCTAGGTGGAAGTCCATTCACAACCAATTCACTGCTAGCAGACCTTTTTCCTAACAAGAACAGGTAGATGGCGTAGTGAGGATTAGAGCACCTCAACACTCACAGGGGCATCCTATGGGAACCAGGCTGGCTTCTAGGACATCTTATTGATGGAAGTTATTTAGTAGATCTTCTTGGATTTGATTTTATTTCTCTGATCTCTTAAGAACATCAATCTTTGGGTTTGTTACCTGTAATTTTTGTCTTAGGAAGGCAGCATCCTTTCCAGGAAGAAATCTTGATGCGTGAAGAAGAAAAAACCTAGTATCCTGCCCTGTTTTTGTTCTCATGGAGATTCAACAGATTTTTACATAATCTGTTTTTGCTATAATTCACCCTCCATTTCTTATATTCTTTGTAAACATCCCTTTCTCCTGTGAGCTGACAGCTTCTGTTCTTTTTCTTGGAGCTTATGAGCTTTTTGAGTCAGATCCTTTAGCAAAGCCCTGGTTTTCTGCCCATGGAGATCATTAAGGATCTCTACCACCAGCTGCAAGATTTTGCATTTATTTTCAACTATTGCATTGACTGGCTGCAGTAAAACAAAGTTTAAAATTTTTTTCTTCCAGCTGATGCTTTGCTGGCAATTATTTGGCTTAGACTATAAATGGCATTTTTTTTTTCCAGTTCTTGTTAATGTGGATTTTGGCATTGTTTGATGACCCTAACTTTTCATCTTCTTACCTTGGTAATCTGCCAGTTAACCCTTTATTTTCAAATCATCTAGTTCATTTCCTTTTCTATGAGTTTTCTCCTCTGACTCAAAGATCAAGATGACGTGGTTTCAGCTATCTAGTATATTTATTCATAACTACAACTGCATTATTTTCCTAAACCACAGCTTCTTTCTGAGACTTGAGATCTTATCTGATCTGCTCACTACCTCAGTAGGTAGGGGTGGGACAGGAGCAGTTTTGGGCAGAAAGACGCCACGGCCTTCTATTTACTGCAGCCTCCACGTCCCCCTCCAAACAATCTGTACTGCCACCTCTTTCTCTTCTAACTCCTATCTTCCATCTCTTTCTTCACCTCAATGCACACACATATCCGATCACAATAACTTTTTTCTTAACATTTAAATTTGAAGATCTTGGTTTGTAGATTTGTAGCAGAGCTACTTAACAACCTTTCTATATTCTTATTGTTCTGGACTTATACCTGCTTCATGCTTTCTCTCTACAGATCTTGTCCCTGGCTGTTAACTCTGATTCTTCCCAAACCAGCCCTACTCTGACTTACGCAGTTTCCTACCATCAAACTGCCAGCAATGACGCCTGGTAAGGGTGCTGACCCACAGCCAGGTGCATTCTTTCTCCCAGTCTCTCTAATTCCCAAATGGCCTGGTGACACAGTTACATTAGATTATGTTGGATTAGTTCTATCACTGCTGAATCTGCTTCCTTAACTTGTGTTCAACTACAATTGTAACTTATTACTTGCATTGTTTTAAGTCTTCAAAAGTCCTCAGTTAATACTTGAACACAGCTTCTCATGTGACACTTTTCCTCTTCTGGTCTAAGTTTCTTTTTGGTGAGCTCTTGGGGTACTAGTAAGAGAATTTCTGCAGTCCAGAGAAGGAGGAGGGAGCATCTGGTGCCAGAATACCAAATGTGTTCATGAGTGTGTGTGTGTGTGTATGAGAGAGTGAGAGAGAGAGAGAGTGAGAGAGAGAGAGAGAGAGGGAAAGAGACTGATCTTTTTACTTCTTGTAGCTTTCTTCTTTCTGCTGCTTGTGTTTTGGGAGAGGTGAATTTCCTCCCTTCAATTCCCTATGTCTCCTTGTTCAAAATCATGCTGACAGGTCATGGCTTCTGATATGGTAAACCTCAGGATGCTCCTTACCCATGCAAGAGGTTTGGCTGGCAATTCACACTAATTTCTTCTCCCTTATGACTTGTAAAATTCAAGTACTTGTGAAAATGAAAAAACTTTAGGGTACATATCTCAACCAATAAGGCTTTTTTATAAAGCTGCTTCTGCTTCTCAAGGTAGCTCTCCTCCCTCTCTCTCTCTCTCTCTCTTTCTCTCTCTCTCTCTCTCTCCCCATTTTTTTTTTTTTTCTTTTTTTGGGAAAGAGCCTTGCTTTGTTGCTCAGGCTGGAGTGCAGTGGCACAATCTTGGCTCACTACAGGCTCTGCCTCCCAGACCCAAACAATTCTCATGCCTCAGCTCCCGAGTAGCTGGGATTATGGCCGTGTGCCAACACACTCAACTAATTTTTTGTATTTTTAGTAGAGATAGGGATTCACCATGTTAGTCAAGGTCACCTTGAACTCCTAGCCTCAAGTTAATCCTCCGACCTCAGCCTCCCAAAGTGCTGGAATTACAGGTGTGAGCTACACACCTGTCCAGGCAGCTCTGCATTCTAAACATTAAGGTACCATTAGGATAGAACTAATTTAGAGCAATGTTATATAGTGACTTTCTCATACAGGGAGTGCAACAGCCAGGTTGGTTATACCAGAACATTATTTATACAGTGGAAAAATCAGGCTTATGTGTGTATGTGAATATAGAATTTATTTTGTCTTAAAATCTGAGCCTCCTGTTTAAAGTTTTTTAAGGGACTAAGCAACTTTTGCTCTTCACTCTTAATGCTTTTTCTTTCAGAGCCCACCTTTCATGAAACCCTGCAGCACTAAACACTTTTATATTTGTAACATATTTAAAAGATAAAAATAAAAGTGTCTGCTCCCAAGCTCATGGGCAAGTCCACTCATCACAGGTGTTCGCCAACAGGGTCAATATTTGCTGACTGAATAAATAATGAAATAGTATTAAAGGTAAAGTCATTTAGGGTGTTACTGAGAATGTAAAAACTCAAAAATGAAAATTCCAACTAAAAAGCAGAGGATCCAAACCATAACTTTTGATGCCAAAACTCTTGCAACTACCTCAGAGCATAGGCGAGCACACATAAGTGTATAATACCATCCTCTCCTCTTATGCTGCCATCTCTTCCACCCACATGGGGCTTGATGCCAAGAATCACAGGTACACTGCACATAACCTGTGTTGACAAGTGCTCACTTTAATTGGTTGATGGTCTTGTGGTGGTGAGTGGGTATGGGAGTAGGGTGTGTCTGGACTAAAGGTATGGGATCAGGCTGGTTCTCACATTCTCACCAGAAATAGGAGTTGACCACAGCTGCTATTGCTTCTCTGTCGTTGGGAGAGGTGATATGTAAGGTGGTTCAGAGTGAGGAACCTGGAAACAGACATCCCTGTCATGGATTTTCTGTTTGAGGATTATTACTTATGTGAGCTTTGACAAAGGACTGAAGGTCTCTAAGCTTTATTTTACAAGTGAAGACAATAAAACAAACAAACAAACAATTAGCATAAAGCTTGCATGTAGATAGTGCTCATACAGTAAAACAAAAAAAATGTTGCTTATTCATATAGCGCTATTTACTGTTTGCATTTGCTCTTATATTTATTTGCATGCTTGTTAATTACTTGCCCCCACCACTAGAATGTAAACCTCATAAGAGCAAGAACCATGGCTTTACACCTTGATGTTGTTCCTCATCTTTCCCCCAATTATTTGATATGGTCAAGTGTTGTTTCCTGGAATGTATGAAAACAGTTTTGAAAGCATGGCCTTAAATCCCCTGCTTATCTACTTTTTAAGCCATGACGCTATTGATTTGGCAGACTATGGACTTGGTTTAATTTCTACTCTACAATAATAAGCAGATTTTGCCTGGAAATATCCCATTTTTGTAATTCATTTTTAAAAGATAATTATAATAGCAAGAAAGTAATTATTATAAAAGTAAATATCTCTTTTTAAGATGCACACAGTATCAACTTTTACACAAAAGGTTCCATATGCTATAAGATTTGCAGTAAGTTGCCAGCCCCTTCTCTAAAACTTTCAGGTTGTTTTTGCTTTCCAGCTCAGTCAGTTATTCAAGAATTACATCTGTGATTTAGGCAAAAATATGACTTACATGCCCTGGTCCCTAGTGGGGAATAAAGCACTTGAGGGGGCTGCAGCTAGAGACCCTGTGCTAGCCTAGGACCAAGTGTAAACTAATGTCATCTATTTGGAGCAAAAGAAATGGGCGGAGTCCTTCTGCTGGGTGAATTTTGGATGCACTGCAGTCCTCTGCTTTCATTATTCAGAGTATCTAGAAGTAGATGATAGATACAAGTCAGATCTTCCACAAGAACCCTTGCCACTATTCCACAGAGTAACTCTCATGATCAAGGTGCTTGGTGCTACTTAAGCTAACGAAAAATTCGCTTTCACCAAACAATAATCAACTAATCTAAAATCCTTGGATGTTACAAATCATTTTTCCTCTGCCCTGAGCAATATTTCTATGGGTATTTTTATATAGGCTTATCTGTAATTAATATTTATAAAGTAAGATTTCATTGGAGTGTATTAGCCTCTCAAAATAGTATAGAGATTAGTATAATCTGATATATATTTTGATTTTTAAAAACATTATCTGATTTGTAAACATACACTCAAATTTCTTCTTAACATATGGCCTAAATCTTGACTATTTTGCTAAATTTTAATACCTTCCCACAAGAGCAAATTTAGTACATTAACACACCTTCTAGTTGTTGGCATTTTGAAAGTATTGGCTCAAAGAAAGTGTCAGGAAAATGGGCAAGAACACTGTAATCTTGGAAAGAGCATGGAGTTATGTAAAAAAACTGGGCTGGGATATGGTTTTATTTCTCACTAGCTGTATGAGTTTGGGAAAGTCATTTAACCCATCTGTGCCTCAGTTTCTTAATGACTGACTTGCCTTTCCCACAGTGCAATTGTACAAACTGAGGGAAATTAAAGTTTTAATTTATCCCTGCAGAGTCCTGATGGATAAGAAAAAAAAAAACGGAAAGAAAGAAAAATTTAAAAACATTAAAAAAATTTTAATCTAAAGTCTTAGCACACCTCGATGAAAATAATGTTTTCTGATGGGATATCATAAACAGGGGGAGGGACTGGGATTGCCATCCTTCAGATACCTACCCACCATTTTTGGTCAAGGAGCAATATCTATTTGTGAAGAAAGGAGAGAGGCCAATTGGGGGTGCTCAGATATAACCACTGGGGGAATTACTGTGGGTTGAACAGCTGCATATAAAATTGTAGTTTGACAGGTTTTCCTGCCCATTAGCACTTGGAAGATGCCATCCCATTGTCTTCTGACCTCTATAATTGCCACTGAGAGATCTGCTGTCAGTCTGCTTATCCTTCCATGGTAAGTAAATTGTGTTTTCTCCTTGTTTTTAAGATTGTTGTCTTTGTCTTTGGTTTTCTGAAGTTTCACTATAATGTCACTAAGTATAGATTTATTTTTATTCATTCTGCTCAGGACTCAAGTTTCTTCAATCTGAAGATATATGTCTTTCTTCAGGGACATGTGGAAAAAAAAAAGATGTTGCACAACCGTCAAAATTGCAAAAATAAAAAAAAATCAAGTGTTGGCAAAGATGTGGGGAAAATTCTCATAGCTACTGATGAGAATTTATTATGACACCTTTAAATTGCAATCTGGGGATACTAGCAAAGGAGGAAATTGTATAACCTGTGATGAAGCAATTACAATTTTAGGCACCCATTCTAGAGAAAACTTGAATTCATAGAAAAAGGAGACACACATAAATCTGTTCGATGAATCATTGGCATTAAAAAGAGAAGAGAGAGTTAAAAAATTTTTAACCAAAATGTCCACCAATAAAATGAGTGAATCACCTGTGGTATATTCATAAATAAAAATCTTAAGTAGCAGTTAAAACAAATCAGATATACACACATTGAATAGATAAATTTAGAGCACAAAATGAGGAACATAAAAAGCAAATAGCAGATGGCAAACATAATATAATGTACTATGCATAAATTTTAACAAAGCACAATAGTATATTGCATATTGCCCAATAAGCAGAAGCCGTGAGGTCTCATACTTTCCTTATAATACAATAGAATAAAAATGACAACAAAGTAAAAGGGTATCCCAAAAATAAAACTATCAGGAAAAAAAAATTTTAAATAACTCCTGGTTTGAAGAAATAACAGAAAGTAAAAGCTATCTATAAATGGTTAACAATTTTAGGTGGTCATATTTGTTTGAAGAGATAGGTGGAATATAGATGACAAGCCTGGGGTATCTTCAAGGTTATACGTCTTAGAAAACAAAAATACTTGTTTGGGTTTAATTTTGGATCTGGTCTCGTTCTTGTGGCTCCAGATGATTTCTGACATGGAGAAAAATGGGGAAGAGTTGAAATACATCCTTCCACCCAAACCCTCCTTTAGTAATAGCTAAGAAAATGCAGAAGAAAATAGAATGTTGCAGAATGTGGAGGGATGTAAAATGGACAGTACTAGGGTAGAGGGAAGCTCAGATTACAGGAAAGAAAGAGCACTTGAGAACCATCTTGTGCTAGGAACTGCTGTGTCCAAGCACAGTCAGATGCCAAAAGATCCAACAAGGCCATGGCTCTGTGCCCTTGAGTGAGCACAACCATTCCTAGCCAAGTTTAAGAGGCAAGTAAAAATATGGGAGCAATGTCAGACAAAGTCTTGTTCAAGTTATGGGGCTAGGATGAGAGAGAATGCCACAGAGTAGGGAGGAAGAGCGATAGATCCAGGTGAAATACAGCTCAGAGTGCCATGACCCCAGGAAGAAGAATCAGGCAAGTACTGTCCCAAGGCAGCTAGAGGGTGAGGGCAGAGTGTCCTGGTTTCCTTACTTGGGGATACCATGGCTATCTGTGGAAATTCCAATAAAAAGGCAGGAAAATTTGACTGGATGGAATCCAGGTAGAAATGTTTCTCTTGCCTAAATTCAGGTGCTAAATAAACAACAAAATGGTAACCTCTGCTATGAAGCATTTCCAATAATGGGATATCTGAGGCCATTACCTTCCTGGAATAACATGGTGAGGTGCAGAGTGGTGGTGGTGGTGAAACATTCGCCAGACCACGGTAAGTGAGAGCAAATTACTGGCCCGGCCCAACCCACACCTAATAAGAAATTTAATATCCCTTTGGCCTGTTTTAGATTTTGGCAAAGCTAGGCCCATAGTCAGCGCTTGCTGGGCTCTCCCTTCCACACCATCCAGAAAACGTACATTTACTGTGGAATGATTGTGGAGGTGAGAGTATAGTGCATATTAATTCATGCAAAAAATTAGATGTTAGTGCAGAAATGTAAATGACAAGAAACTACTGAATTCTCTGTCTGTTGTGGAAATAAAACCTTCTGGGGATGAATCAAAACTATCTGACAATTACTTGAAACAGGTGGAGAGCTAAATGTAATGTGCCTTGGATATTATAACTAAAAGGTGCTATAATCCAGTTTTCTTTTTGTCTTTTAAGGATTGGTTCTGAGGCACACTACCAGTAAATATTGCAAAAATTATGTAAAGTTCCAAAAGCTACTCTGTGTAAACTTCTTGAGTGGGAATTTTCAACCATAATGTCTAGCATATGACTGATAATTCTGAATGTTAACTGATTTTATGTTCTGATGTTTTGACTGGTTTTGGGAAAAATTTTGGGAAAAAAAAAGTTATCCTTGTAAATACCCAACAACTGGGTCTCTGGGTAAAAAGTCCTAATTTATAGAGATTGCTAATTTCCATAGTGTAAATATTTCCACAGTGCAGATTCATTCCTTCCTTCCTTCCTCCCTTCCTTCCTTCCTTCCTTCCTTCCTTCCTTCCTTCCTTCCTTCCTTCTCCTTCTCCTTCTCCTTCTCCTTCTCCTTCTCCTTCTCCTTCTTTCCCTCTTTCCCCCCCCCCCTTTCTTTCTTTCTTTTTTTTTTTTTTTTTTGAGATGGAGTTTCAGTCTTGTTGCCCAGGCTGGAATGCAATGGTGTGACCTTGGCTCACTGCAGTCTCCACCTCCCAGGTTCAAGTGATTCTTCTGCCTCAGCCTCCCTCCTGAATAGCTGGGATTACAGGTGCCCACCACCATGCCTGGCTAATTTTGTAGTTTTAATAGAGACGGGGTTTCACCATATTGGCCAGGCTGGTCTCGAACCCTGGACCTCAGGTGATCCATCTGCCTTGGTCTCCCAAAGTGTTGGGATTACAGGTGTGAGCCACCACACCTGGCCTACAATGCGTATTTCATGCCATGAACATGATGTCTCTGGAGTTTACCATTTATCTTTCAATTGGCAACTTTGATGCAGAATTGGGAAGAGAAGCACCCAATTGACTCTTGTCAACTGGTACAGGCCAGCGCCAGTACACCACTGTATGTATCCATGGCCCTCTGTGAAGTTATAGTTTACTACTAAAATTTCTGCTCCATAAATATACAAAGGCACTAGTAAGAGAAAAAATATAAAGAGAATATAAACTAAATTCAAACTGGGGGCCTCAAATGGAGAAAATTGACAGATAATATTTTTGTGACTTTGAAAAGTAGCATTTGTCTACAATTACCTTTTATTGTCTTTTTTTTTGTTTTTTTGAGATGGAGTTTCACTCTTATTGCCCAGGCTGGAGTGCAATGGTGTGCGACATCAGCTCACTGCAACCTCTGCCTCCGGGGTTCAAGCAGTTCTCCTGCCTCAGCCTCCCAAGTAGCTGGGATCACAGGCATCACCACCATGCCCAGCTAACTTTTTGTATTTTTAGTAGAGATGGGATTTCGCCATGTTGGCCAGGCTGGTCTCGAACTCCTGACCTCAGGTGATCCACCTGCTTTGGCCTCCCAAAGTGTTGGGATTTCAGGCATGAGCCACTGCGCCTGGCCTATTACTATCATCTTTTATTAAGCAAACAGGTATCTATGTATCATACTAAGTGTTCTGAGCTCTTAGTTTCTTTGGTGTTCACCTAGATGGAGGCTGGGGCTTCCTCCTTTCAGATATTGGTGCTAACATGATGCTGATCAAAGAATTGATGGGACCTACACACTGTAAAGCTGGTTTCAGGATGGCTGAGCTGAGGGTCAAGAAAGAAGAGAAGATACGAACTGCCTGAATTTTGGGATGGTGGCACTGAAATTATACTTGTGATTTGGTGTGACAATATATAGCTCTTTGTGGTTGTTAACATTAATGAAAACAAGAAAAATTAGTTGCCCAAAAGTTGAAAAAAATGAATTTATAAACTTTTTATTAGAGTAAGGCAAAGAACATATTAAAATAGAAGTAAATTAGAAGTGTCAATAAGAACCCATGGACATTTTTAAAAAGAAGACTTTATCTGTTCGGTCCCTACAGTGATTTATGCTCTCAGATATTTTTGCTGTCATCCTGACAAATTCCAGTTGGAATGTGGAACAAGCTTATTTGTAGACCCAGTGCCAGTGGCTTCTAAAACAATTCTCTGAAAAGAGAAACCACTGCCCATTGGAAGGATAGTTGATTCCATACCTCGAGCTAGGGAAAATAATCAGAATTAGTCTGTGAATTCTAGATGTTGAGAGAAAGCAAGGTTGCATTAGGGCATCAGAGAGTCATTAAGTCCATAGGATGCAAAAAAGAAGATGAAATAAAATTGCCTGAAAAACGCACCTGAATTTCTGATGTTGTTTACTGAAAAGGCTGAGTATTGATAAATCCCAATTATGTCAGGTCTACACTTGAGAATTTATAACCAACAGTTTGAAAATGCAGGGTGTTGTTTTTTTCTATGAGGAGACAAAACAGTCAGAAGTGAGTATTGCAGGACATTATCACAGTGTCAAAGATCTTCGTGAAATGTGGTTCATTTGCTAGAAAATAATGCAAGCCTATTGGAGAGAATCAGGGTTTCTGTGTTGCTGCTAAGGATAACCTTAGGGGTTGTAAGTCACACTTTTTCCTTTGTCTGCCAGCAGCAGCTACACAGAGTACGCCTGCCTCTTCCCATGAAAGGCACGCTGAGTTTCATCAGCTAGTAGTGTCTGGGCACTATTGCAAGTTATGTCATGTTGTTTATGGCCATTTATCCAACAGTGCTTTTTTCTGTGCAGGGGGCTCTGCAGCCTCATTCTATGCTATTTTTATTACCACGTGTCTGTGTGCCTCACGTGGCAAAGCAGAACCAGCTTCTCTACCCTCGCAGGGCTCACTATGACTCACTGTAGGGGAAGAAAATCTTATAGATATCAGAAAATGTTAGGTAAGTGGACAATGATAAACAAAGCACCAAGTGGTCACTATTAAAGAGAAAAACAGTAAGGTGGTGAAGGAGAGGTATCAAAGTTAGTTTAAAAAAAAGTAATAGAAATATAAAGGGACAGTACTTCACAAAAATTTAGATTGTAAGTGAACTTCTTCTCCTAAAGAGATTTAAAAATGAAATAAAGGAAATACATGAAGAAAGAAAGTAAAATGCTGAGGGGTAAATTTGATCATGAATACCTAAGGAAAAACATACTTACACTAAAACAACCAAATATACAAAAATCAAGTGGAAAAACAGGTCAATACAATACCAGTTGATGTCTATAAGCACTAAATGTATAAGAAGTGAAAAAAAAAATGGCCAGTTTAACACCAGCTGGTGCCCATAATAACATGTTTATTTGCAAAGTCTGCATTTTACACATATACTGTGGTTTACACAAAATTGGAAGGAAACCCACTAAGAACAGATCTGTCATCAACAGGATAGCACAGCACTGAACATGGGCAACTAGGCGGTCAAATCATTTTCCCCACAGGAGGCAGCAGGGGGAGCCTGATGTTAGCAAGAAGTGAGCAGCACTGAGGGATGGTCCAGAGGACAGCGTGATGGAGATGGGAACTGGGTGGTATCAAGCGAGGGACGCAGAAAGCAGGGCTTTGGTGTTGTATACATGCATAAATCCTGAATGGGTGTGTGAGAGCTCGGAGCCCTGCCATGGTCCGTGTTGCCTTCCTTAGTCACTTCCTGTTCTGTCCCATGTCACTGGGACAACACATCTAGGACTTACTAGCTAAAATGGGTTTGGAGCAATCAAGACAGCCTCCTGCTCCAAACAAACTGCTCTCCTTGCTCCTAACATTTATGAAGAAAAGGTGAGACTCCAGGATACAAAATCAATGTGCAAAAATCACAAGCATTCCTATACACCAATAACAGACTTAATGAGAGCCAAATCAAGAACGAACTGCCATTCACAAT